CAGTTATTGATAACTGTGCAGTTATCGTCAAGCAAGGGGATACAGTTCTTAATTATAAGATTGGGGAGTAGAATTTTCTTAGGGAAGCTATTTTGTCCTCTGTGCCTTCCAGAGGAGAAACTAAATAATGGTCAGGCTGTATTGTGCTTCCAATCACCACAAACACTATTAAAGTGACCCTTAATTGGATTTGTTTCAGTTAATAACATTGTACCTTATAAGACCAGAGAGTGTAACAGTTGTAGAGGTCTACTCTGAGGAAGATGCTATATAAATAACTAGAAACTGGTTTGGTTCTATACTCTTGTCATTGTCAGAGCAGGACAGTTTTTGTTCTTTTTCAAATAAGGGCCAAACTGTGTAGAAAGCCTCAAATTCCAGCTACTAACTTTAAAAGAAGATCATAATTCATTGATAGAAAAACAGTGTTATATAGTTTTATTTTGCATATACTATGCAATTTGAGTCTTTGGGGTGCGGTGGGGACAGTCAATATTGACAAGCCATAAAATACATCCAAGAAGTGCCAGTCATTTGTTTTAGCTCATTTATCTATACTGTGCTTTAACTTTCATAAGAAACGTAAAAGTGTTATGTTAATATTTCAACTGGAGGTTCTGTTGGAGATCTATGAGTAACATGAATATAAGCGCATTACTCATCCTGCCAAACCCATAAATTAGCCAGACAAGGGGAAGAGAAGTTGCGCAGCAAAAAGTATACTTGAAACAAAGAAAGAGGGGTTGTATGCATGCCCATAAGCGCGTACACACAGAACAATGAAGAGCAGCTTCTGAATTCCAGCTTAGAATGTAGTTGACTCCATTATTGATCCATGTTTCTTAAGGCAGGGGTTCTTAGACAAGCTGCTTTGGGCTGAAAGCCACAGAGGAATCTGGTTTTATAAAAGGGACAGTATAACATATTTAATTATTAGAATGATCACCTCAAGAAACATCCAAGATGTCATCTTTTTCAAAATCCCTTTGGGACCATCTACTTCCAATTCTTCTCATTAACAGTGGAGGTGGTTAGCAGGTTCTGAGAGCTACTTGGTGCAAACTGAAGGCCAGAGATGAAATTTGTTTACCGCCCTTCTCATCACAAAATGAGTTTAAGAAATATTGTCCGGTGAAATTCCTCTAAACTGAAAAGATGGAATCATTCAGCCTTGTAAAACTTTGTGAAGTCTTAATATGAAAAGAAATGGAAGTACACAATATTCTTGGCTTTCACTATTTTTCAGTCATATTGTTCCTGTTAGTGCTTACCACATTTCTTATTACTGATTCCACACTTTCATTTCCATGGAGTCTCAAGTACCTCAGTTTAGCAGAACCATTGTTTTCCTTCCTCAAGAAAGATGATTGGTCAGGACTCACAGGAAGGTTGTAGTTATATAAATACAAACAAATAATATTATGTAACCTGACTTTAGTTTATCTATTTTCAAAGGAGTAACTTTTAAAATTCTAAACAATTACAAAATCTCTTGTGTCAATTTAAAAGAGTAACATCTTTATTGCTGTATTGCTTTTCTTTCTTTCTTTCTTTCTTTCTTTCTTTCTTTCTTTCTTTCTTTCTTTCTTTCTTTCTTTCTTTCTTTCTTTCTTTCCTTCTTTCTTTCTTCTTTTTCTTTTTGGATTGTACTATGTTATCAGTGTTGCTTTTCATCTGGAAAGAGTGATCGTGTTGTTCCCTTAACTCCTGTTAGTTCTATGTAATATCTTCGTTGTTTAGGTACTGCTCACTCTTTAAAAAGTAGTTATCCTATTCACTTTCATCTTCTACCATGAGTGATATTCTATATTAACAGGCCAGAGTTCTTCTTGAATCTGTTTTCTCTTGGTCTATATGATGAGAAACAGTAGGTTTTTATTCCTATAAAATATAAGAATGATACTAAAATTCTACCTCTGTTTTTTTTAAAAGCCATTCCCTCTTTTCTTTTCTGTAGTTGATGCTGTTATTTCTACTTTGTAGTTGTCTCGTTGAATCAATCTATCTATCTATCTATCTATCTATCTATCTATCTATCTATCTATC